TATAAACATGCGGAAAGCAAAATCTAAGTACTTTGTGATAAAATCCAGGCAAGCTCTCAAATGGGAGACAGTAAAAGTGGATGGGCTTGGATAAATTCGCTCTTAGGAAGAAAGCATAAGAATGCAAATATTAATGAACTGAAAGTAAATGATGATATTATTTCTGATGATAAATCTATTACTGAAACATTAACTGAATATTTTATAAATATTGGAATGAAGATGGCTGCTGAATCAGCATGTCAAAGCACTGATGCTTTAAATGATCAAGTAATTTATGAAAGTACTGTGCTTCTTCCTAAAGAAAATTTTCACTTCGCAGATATTACTATAGATAGTGTTTCCAAGCGCCTACAAAAACTAAATGTCTCAAAAGCGACAGGTATGGATGGAATACCTGCGAATATTTTAAAACTGACATCAACCCTTATTGCTCCATCTATAACTTTTATATTTAACCTATCGATTAGAACTGGTATTTATATAGATGAGTGGAAATTGGCTAGAGTTATACCAATTTACAAATCTGAGGATAAGCGTAAATGCGAAAATTATAGACCAATTTCAATTCTTCCCATAATAAGTAAAATATTTGAAGGGGAAGTTTTACTCAAATATATAGCTTTTTGAATAAACATGCGCTTCTGTCTAAATTTCAATCCGGGTTTAGACCAAAACATGGAACCTTAGGTGCTCTTATACAAATGTGTGATCAATGGCTACAAGACATGGATGAAGGCAAAATAAATGGAGTTGTTTTTCTTGATATATGTAAAGCATTTGACTCGGTGAATCACGAGATATTATTGGAGAAGCTTAAAACCCAGTTTGGAATTCACGACATTGAATTAAAATGGTTCCAATCATACTTAAGGAATAGAAAGCAAGTGTGTTCTGTTAATGATCAAACTTCTTCTGCAAGAACAATAATATGCGGAATTCCGCAAGGATCCATACTTGGTCCATTATTGTTTTTGCTATATATTAATGATATGCCTGATATTCTAGAAAGGACAACCCCATGTCTTTATGCCGACGACACTCAGATATCTTCCTCTTCGCATGATTACGATACATTGATTGACAATTTGAATATGGACCTTTCCAGTATTCATAAATGGCTTGCTAAAAACAAACTAAAATATCATAGGAAAAAACAAAAGTCATGTTTATTGGATCTACGCATAATCTAAATCATAAAATAGGAAATAGAGCCGTTGAGATTAACAAAATCCCAGTCCCACAAACCAATACATTTAAATGTCTAGGTGTAAATCTAGATGAAAAATTAAGTTGGGAGAAACATATTGATTCTGTATGCCATAAGATTAGCGCTGAAATAGAAGCAATTAAAAGAATAAAACCTTATGTTCCACACAAAACCTTACATGATGTCTACAAAACATTAATTCAGCCTCATTTTGATTACTGTTCTCCCCTGTGGGATAACTGTGGTTTGGGACTTCAAGACAAATTGCAAAAATTCCAAAATCGAGCAGCAAGGGTGATTACCGGAGCTGACTACGATGTAAGATCGTCTGAAGTCCTAAACAAATTAGGCTGGGAAACCCTGGCTAGGAGACGAGAACAAAACAAGCTAGTATTGATGTATAAAGTCTTGGGGAACCACACTGCGCCAAACCTTAAAGATCTTTTTTCTCGGAGAAATGCATCGCAGAATATTTATGATTTACGCAATAGCGAAACTGATCTCTCGTTAAAAAAACCGAAAACGGAATTTCTAAAGAAAACATTTGGATACAGTGGAGCAATTCTATGGAATAGTCTGCCGCAAGATGTCAAGGCGGCTGAGTCAATTACGTCATTTAAAACAATGGCGAAATTGCATTTAAGCAGATGATAAGCTAATTTCTCCAGGACCAAATGATGGGAGGACAATATAGATTGTGGGCGGGAGGGGGTTAGTTTTGCGTGAGGGTGGGTGGGTACTTGTTTAGGGGGTGGAGGTTTGGGAGGAAGATGATAATATTTTAGGGTGGGATTCTTACATATTTTGTTCTATATATAATTAACATTTAGCTCTTTGTGTGTATACGCCCTTCGTGGAAACCAGTTGTAAATAATTGTCGAAGTTAGCGTATTGAAATAAAGTTTTACGTACATACATACATAATGTTTCTTAGTGGTAGCGCTTTACGCGTTTATTAGCGTCAAACAGACGAAATTCGCGCAGATTTAGATGCCCTATACAAGACGCTTTAAGGCAAGTATTCGTATCGCCGCACCAACAATTCCTAAGGCGCCAAGAACTAAATAATCGCACGCAGGGTCCAGTGGAACCACTCGAAAGCTATCTTGATGATGTTGACGCTAGAGCCGCGTGATTACAATTAACAGATGCTGAAACCATGCAATGTTTTGTTCAAGGTTTACGCCAGGATTTAAAAGAACACGTTATTTTACAATTACCAGATACCTATGCCGCTGCTGTTGATGCCGCACGTTTAAAAAACTCCCTTTCTCGTCCATCAACTTCAGTTTTACCGAATCAAAGTTCACGCGCTCTTTCAGCTATAGATCTCGGTTCATCGCACGTAACAGCACAAACAACGCGAAATACGCATACTGATGCTCCGAACTATGTTACACGTCAAGAATTTATGAGTTTACAAAATCAACTTCAGTCTATCCCACCGAATAGCCAAAGAGTAGGACCTGCACAATCACCTGCAATTTCTTACTACAATTCGCGTAACCGCCGTATCCCTGACGGGCGGCCAATTTGTAATATAATCGTTGTAATAAAGTTGGTCATATTGCCAGTCGCTGCTTTGTCAACTAGATTTGGATCGTCCAGACTTTCCTCAGAGTCGTGGGAATTTTAATGCTTCCAGGGGTCCGTTATCTCAACCACAAAATTACCTGCAAGGACAAAACGTAAGGAATAATTTTCCAAACAACCAAAGTATCCGCAGACCAAACCCATACGCAGCTAGACCTACACGTTTTCCGGCGTTACCACCACCTCCCCCACCTCCACCCCCTATGAATGTTTTATTACAGGATAGTGCTTATACACCATAGAAATAATAGATATAGAATGCGTACTTGATCACGAATCCATCATGTCTCCACTTTTTCTCACGCGTGCCCTTATAAATCCGCCATGTTGAATTTGTCTAGGAGTGCCAAATACAAAATATAAACAAAGCTAAAACTACGTTTTTATCGTCAAAACGTTTGTCTTGTTGTCTAAATTTGTAGTTTGGGGATAGATTTTGAGTTCTTTGAAGGCACAAACTGTCAAAGCAATTGTGCAGTTACAAAAACGGTGAAAATAGTGCAGCCTTGTAAAAACAAAGTAGTTTCGCGTAAATATAATTTACTCATGAAACATTTTTGCTCTGAACGTCATTAGTTCACTGTTTTGCTAGCATTTTATAAGATTACAAAATAATGTTTTTTCTTCGTCGCAGTTCGTTATTCTTCAATGTAAACGAAGTGTTTCACATGTTCTTGAAACAAAAATATTTAGTTGTCGATAAAATTGTCTAAATAATCGTCGAAAACTATGGTTTCAACTGCGTTGCCTCAAGCTCAAGCAACGTAGAAAAATATGAAAAGTAATTGTGTAAGTTTAAAAAGATTATTGAACTTCATTTATATTATAAAAGAGTTGAAATATTTATAGAACATACCTATATTGAGTTTGAGTTTGTCTTGATCTTTCGGGTTTTGTTTTGGCTTGCACAACAACGTTGAAAATCTATTTTTAACTGACGACGATTTCTGTATATATTGTGCTCAGAACTGTTGCTTTTCGTAAAAACGTCCACTAGCCGATGGGTTTTTAGACACTTTTTCTTCTTTGTAAACCTTTTTTTTCATTTTAAGTCTCGATATAAAAATTTTTGCAAACTCTGCAGTTGAAAAAACAATTCGCTAGTGATGGCACAGAATAGGAAGTTATACCATATAGAATATATAATGGCCAGAAGCACAGAATACTACACAGAAGTCCATCTCAGTGAACTCTCTATATATATATATCTGGAACGATAACATTCAGTCATTTGATTGTGAAAACAATGAAGCCTCGATACCAGTCTTTCACGCGGATTGGACGTCAGTCTCAGTCCCTCAAACGTCAGGTTTACGCGGATTGGACGTCAGTTTCATTCCCCCTCTTGCAAACCGTTGCACGGCCAGTATAAATTTGAACCAGTGCTTCCATTTTCAAGGAAATTTCCTTTTCTAAGGAAGTTCTACTGTCGAAAAGGAAAATCTAAGGAAGAGAAAAAATCTAAGGAAATCTAAGGATTTTTTTCTGAAAAACTTAAATATTCATCCAAGCGCATTAGTGCAGAAGAAGGTTTCACTATTTTTTGAATTTTTGAGTGAATTATCAATTATCTTTAATCAAAAATCTGTTTTTAACTTTTCCTCGAGGGTCCTGAACGGGTAAAATGGGAACTGGGATTTGCTTTTTTTGGGGTGGGAAAATGGAATTTCATGCACTGGGACTGGGCACAGAGGGCCACTTACGTCGGAAGCTTTGAAGTTTCTGTGGCGCTGGCCGCCATCTTCCCAGCCAGTCGATTACATTTTCTAGCCAATAAACACACTGTATTGGCTGCAGTCCCCGCCTTCTGGCCAGTCAACTGCATATTTTTGCATAAAAAAATGGCAACACGTTGCACCACTGAGTGGCCCTTCTAAGATTTGAGCAGGACAGCCACTGAGATGATGGGATTTGTGCTCTGGGACAATGGGATTTAGTCAAAATATGGGCTGGGAAATGGGAATACGACCCCC